TGAGATTACTACTTTGTAGTAAAATACCTATTCAAGTTGAACTTCTAATTATCATAATTCTAATTATCAAAAAAAAAAACTCTAATAAAGTTTTACAATTAGTGCCTCTTCAGTTGTTGTTCATTTATTTTCGAATTGTTGTTTGATTCTTGGATCTTCATTTATATTAGAACTCGCATTATGCATCACATGAATAGTTGATCAACAATGTTTGACTACTAATTTTGTGGCGATTCAATCTGTATTTGATTTGTACGAAAAATTTTCGAGAAAGTCAAGATACCCACTTCATAATGCTTTATATAAATTTTGTTTAAAGATTATCAAATAAAAATTACACCATCACAAAATGAAGTTAAACAAAAACCGATGGGCCTTAATAAACTCGAAATATGTGACATCATCAACATTTTGTCTAATTTTTAGATGATTAAAATACTTTTTTGTACGATAAAAAAATCTAACGTTGTTTTGGCAGAGTAATTGACTTCTTGAAAATGTTATATCTTGCACACTAGATAAAATATTTCTTTTTCTCTTTTTCTGTATGAAAAAATGCAAACAAAAAACGTGTAAGAATGTGTTTTCAAAAAAATGTAACGTATTTTATCAACTGGAAACGTATTCTTGTACTATTGAAGCGTTGAATAATGAGAAATGGCTGTAGATGAAGAGAAGGCACACAGCCAGAGGCACACCATACACGCGCCGGTGTACTACACACCCTAAGCGTTTGTTTTAACGTGTCACTGGTAATGAAATTCCTGTCATTCAATTGCCAAATCTAACTGATAATAGCTAATTTGATTGCTCTGTCTAAGTGCTATTTTTATCTTCAAATAATAAAAATTTTTGATGCTGAAAAAATTTTAAAAATGAATCGAAAGTTCTACAATGATTATTTTATGAAATAAAAACGAACTTGAGGTTAGAGCATGCATATAACCAAAAATACTCTAGAAAAATTAAAAGAACGTTTGTGACGACTCTCTTAAGAAATAATTGTTTTAAGTAAGTAGATGGAGTCATTGTATGTCAAACAACCAAAAACCACATCTCTTCGGAGTAGTAAATGCCAGTAATGTTAGTAGCGGATAGTTGTCGATTAGTTCGTTTTGGATACCGCTTATAGTCAAGAAACTAAAATTTTACAACAAAATGCAAGCAACAGCTCACTACTTGAAGAATGCATTCTTTAATTGAAAAGTCAGCACCCAGATCTGTAAGTTCAATGGTGCCGCTATGATCTTCGGCATAACTTCACATACTCTTCAGTCTATAGACGTCTAACAAGAAATATACCATTAATCAGTTTATGATGCAAACAAACGGGTATCTAGAGACAGGACATCAAATGGTTGACACAAATTGTTAATATCAATAATTTGTCAAACGACTAAGTCCCATCAAATTATTGCAAAGCGTTGCCTTATGTCAGTATGTCAGGAAATGAATGATATGCCAAAGTATATCATAATCAAATAGTGTAGTGTTTGTCATAGGTATGTAAAAAGCAGTTGTAAAGCATTGTTACAATGGTAATGAAGAATTTCGAAGAGTTCGATAACACCATCTGAATTTCTTGAGCCGCGCGTGAACACTTTCAATCAAATGGCCTACCTTTGTGACAAATTGGGAGTTATTGGCTTCATACACATCGAAGTCTCGCTGATTTTTGCCGAGGCACGAAAGTATTACAACATCAAAAGAATCTCGAAATTCTCCCTTTTGCATGATTGTGCCACACTCTTCAGTAAATATAAGGATAATCTCGTAGTTATTGAAGATAATACGCGTAAAAATAGAAGAAACATTGACAATGTAGTCCATTATTATTATTACTATGAACAGAAACTTGATCAATGGTCGCGTCTTATGTTGATTGAATGTATTACGCTGGACTCCATTAATATACCGGGTGTGTCAAAGTGTTTGCAACATGTTGTATTTTGCATATATCTCAGCATAGATAAATGATAAAAAACTTGATTTTTTTTCAAAAGATGCACCGTGAAAAGCTCTACAAAAAATGTCGGAACAAATCTCTACTAACATGTTTTGATGATTTTTTTCTATAGTCAAAATGAAACACCTACATATTAGTGCTACTTCCCACAGTACTTATAATAATAAAAATGTTTGGAAGACCTTCTTTTATTTTGCATATATCTCATCTTCAGATAACGATAAAATCTTGATCTTTTTTTCAAAATATGCTTCATCGAAAGCTCTACAAAATTTATATGAACAAACCCTATCGACTTGCTCTGATGATTTTTCTAGATAGTCAAAAGTGAAGATCTGCGTGATGTTGCTACTGAGTGTTCAAAAATGTTTGCAACATAGCTTGTTTTACAAATATCTCTGCACAGACAAATGATAAAATTTTGATTATTTTTCTTCAAAAGATGCGCCATGAAAAGCTCTGCAAAAAGTATAAGAACAAATACTTATTGAGTTGTTCTGACGGTTTCTTTCCGACTCGAAATGGAAAAAAATACATGATACTGCTACTTCCCACCGTATTTATAATAATAAAAATGTTCGGAAGACTTTTTCATTTTGCTTATATCTCAGCCTCAGAAAATGATAGAATCTTGATATTTTTTTCAAAAGATGGGCCGTTGAAAGTTCTACAAAAGCTGTATTAGCCAATTCATAGTGGAAAACAAAAAGGTCTTGCAAACATTTTTATTATTATAAGTACTGTGGGAAGTAGCACTAATATGTAGGTGTTTCATTTTGACTATAGAAAAAATCATCAAAACATGTTAGTAGAGCTTTTCACGGCGCATCTTTTGAAAAAAATCAAGTTTTTTATCATTTATCCATGCTGAGATATATGCAAAATACAGCATGTTGCAAACATTTTGGCACACCCGGTAGCTGTCGTACATTTTTCAAAGTAGCATATCGCTTTAAAAAAATGAAGCTTCTCGTGTATCTCACCAGTATTTTAAAGATATATTCCATTCAATACAAATATACATGAATGCCAGCTCTCGATCAGTAAGCGACTAACAATCAGTGAGATATGTTTATCGATCACATTTTGTCACGTCAAATGATTCAAATACAGATAATGCAAAACGAAATATTGAGCAAGCGCGATTCGAGTATTAAAAATGAGGCAATTCTCGTAGCATTTGTTGTCTATGTCGATTATAGACGCCAAACTGAAATAACTTGAACCCTGTTTCACTTTCATCAAAGAAACAGTAAAATATATCTAACTAATTCCTATACTGAATTCTTCAATGTAGTAGAAGCTACGTATATTCGATAAAATATGAGTATGCTGAGTTGCAGTAAAAATACCCAGTCAATTTTGTGTAATCAGCATCACTCATACAAAAGCATTCATCAAAGTTATGATGTCTGATTACTAGTGACTATCGTATGATACAAATGAAGCATGTCCATATCATTTTGTCGAGAGAATCTACCATATGACTTGTACAACATTGCGATACACCAAGTATTTTGATATGAAGTCGAATCAACATTTTGTTACGATTCTATTCATGAATAGTAATCATTGGAGAAATTATTCGCGCTCTGCAACCACATCATTGACTACAAATGAGAACATATGTAAATATGCTGCAGTGCGCCAACATATCTAATCGAAGTGATAGCAACTTCGATTGAAATATCGATACTCTTTTTATCAGCATTATCATTAGCGATCATCATATTTTCCTGAAAAGTAAAAATTATAAATTATAAGAAACATTGAAATGAAGTCACAGCTTTTTTCTTTTTCTATTTAACAGCCACCGTTGGTTTTGCATCCACTTGTTGATCATGCCGTTTTCATTATCTATAAACTCAACATCGTTTGGAGATTTGCAGCTCATGCTATCAACAATAATACTTATTGTCCGATAATAATCGTTAATGATTGTATCTGCCAATCTCTTTACATTCGAACTATCAAATCATTTCAAAAGCAGCATAGTCTCATGTACATTTTCTTACCATTTTGTAGCTCTCAGTGAGTTCCATCTACCTTAGAAAAAATGATTCTTTTCCAATGAAGTACATTTATGATCACACAAATCGCATCATTATTTCTACAGAAGAAATCTACTGTTGTTGTAGGGCGGATGTACTCATTGATTGAGTACACTATGAAAAATTTATGAAAGTGATTTCATGAGTTGAGGGTAGTTTGCTGTTGAAAAGAGAAGCATGAACGGCATGAAAGAAGATATTATCGAAGTACCTCTTAAAACGGACCAATTAATGAACTAACTATTGGTCATTTACGAATGCTAAAAAGAGCAGAAAGATCAATACATTAAGACATAATTGGAGAAGATCTGGATGATCCTTAAAATTAGCTTGTCACATTCGTAACAATATCTCTTCATCTTAATCGAAATATCTATGTACATGTATGGTTTTACTGTCAATGACTTTACAATAATAAACTGACTGACAAAAAAAACTATTGTTTCATGCAATCGATTTTTTGTATATGAAATGCGAAGAAACCTTTCTACATTCTTAATGATTTTTTTCTCAAACTTTTAACTGTATCAGTCGAAAAAAGAGAAAAAAATCAAGAAAATTTTTTCCCTTCACTGCTTAACCTTCATATCAAAACCGATTGTACAAAGAAAATAGTAGAATTCAATATAATATATCTAAAAAAACGTATTGAAAATAACTGAAAATGAATCACTTCATTCAAATGTTACATTACGAGAAATAAAAGGAAAAAAACAGACATGTTACCTATACCATCTCTATTAATGAAAAAGAATAGGTAGCTTTCATACATCCATAGTGTCGCTTTTTCTTTTTCTCCCTTTTCTGTCGTCTTTGGTTTTTTTTATCGCTTCATTCACAACATCATAAATGTCCTTCAAAGGACTATACAAGAGGCACGTACATGTTATTTCATTATAATAGAAAGATTTCTGTACCATTTTCAACGTATATATCTCATTAATTTTAGAACATAAGTTTTATTTTATTTACTTGGAAATATAATGCTATATATTTTTGTTATTAATCTCATTATTTCTGGCTTATGGTGTCAAAATATTGAACGAGTTATTTTACAGCAAGGACAACCTTTTTCATTTGATTGCCAATACAATGAAATGGTTTTATTTGGTAGACGATTAAATGAATGGTCAGAAATTCAAGAAGATAATGAATATTATTTATATTTAAATCTAAATTTTAACTATTTAACTCAAGAAAATATTCTACGCGTAACATTAAGTTCTATTCAATCAAAACATGCCGGATATTATACTTGTCAAAAACCAACATTGGCAAGTACATCTAAAAATCGTATTTATCAAATAATTGTCACTGGTATAAAAAATTATTTTTTTTTGTCTAAAAATAGTTTGTTTTTCTTTTAAGATGTGCAGTCATTTTATTGGAATTATATATGTCATGGTCCAATAGGTTCGTGTGAACGTTGGGATGATGTCGTTAATGAAAGTTTAAGTCAATTTGAAGTTGCTGATCAAACAAATATTGAATTATTTTGTTGTGCATCTGTAACAGGTTATCAAACTGTAAATATACATATGAATCGAGTTGGAGATATTCTTGGTAGTGTAGAAGTAAATAAAAAACAAGAACTTGATGGTTCATGGATTGTTTGTGCTAATCAACGTACTGTATTAAGACGAACATCAATTTTTAATCAACAACTATTAACATGTGAATTATTAACAGATAATCGACCTAATTCAATGCTTTCGAGTTTAATTATAATAAAAGGTAATTGAGATTTGATTATAAATGAAAGAAAAAATTTGCGTAATTTTAATAGATTCAATTCATCCAGATCCATCATTGAATTATAATTCATATGTAAAAGAAAATAAAGATAGTGAATATTTTCATGGACATCGATTATCTGAGATTCGTTCAAGAAGAAAATCTATGACTGGTGTGAGCCTTTGATGCGTGTTTTTTTTTCAAAAAGAAAAATTTAATTAATATATTAATTTAGGAAAAAAACTTGCTATTATTATTGGTTCTGTCACTGGTGGTCTTTGCCTATTAGGATTATCGATTTTTTTCATAATTTGCCGATGTCGTCATCAAAATAGTATTGATATTAAAATTTTTATTTTTATTATAGAATTAATCGTTTTTTTTCTTTTTCTTCTCTTGTTTTATTTTAGCTTCGTCAAGGTAAGTTCAACAATTCAAATGATTCTATGCAGGTTTATTCTTTTCTTTCTTCTCGTTTGATTTATTCAAGTTCAAAAATGAAGAGTATGTATGAAATTAATCTGCTTATATAATCTTGATATTTTCTAATAGATTCAAAGCAATATTCACCAGTTAAAACCATGGAACAACCAAGATATAACAATGAGAAAAGTACACAAGGTAAATAAAATAATTAGATAATTCTGAACTTGTTTTATATGATGGAAAAATGACGGTAAATATTTTTTATCCTTAATAACTTTTAGATGATGAACCTGTTTATGAAGAACCAACACCATTATCTAAAACTACACCTATATTTATACGATGTTAAGTATTATAGATAGATCTTATTGTAAGTATTAATTTATTTATCTGTCTTGATTTTATCGTTAGTATAATAAATAATAATTATATTTGATTGATTTTAGTTTAATGTACATATTGATTAAAATAGATCTTTTTATTTCAAATTTTACTTCAATTATCTCTTTTTTTGTATTTTGTTTGATAATCTGAGTGATGCCTTTGTTTTTTTTATATACTTTTCTGTCTATTGTATAAATGATAAAATATATTTGAGTGCATGTCATGCACAATTTGTATAAATTCATATAGTCAAAAATCATTTGTCAACCACGTGACTTCACAAAATAAAAATACGTTTATTTTAAGATAAGAAAAGTTTCTAGTGCTAATTTTTACATGCTACATCTAGATTAAGTGATTCCAGATAGCTTGGAAAAATCAGTGCTGGAGACTTTTGTTCATAAGCAGTTGCCAGAAGAAACTTGTGTCAAAAATGTCATTGACTTTCATGTCAAGTATTTTAGTTTAAAACAGAACTTCGAATTTGAGCAGTATTTTTGAAAACGAAATAGTACATTCTCTAGACAATTCCTGAGTCTACACAATCTCTATACAAGATTGTGTAAGAGTCTTTCTTGAATTTTTCTCATATAGTTAGATAGATATCCACTAATTACCTTTTAATTAAGAGTCAATTGAAAGTGCCAAAAATTTTTGCATATGATAAAAAAACTTACTCAGAAAAACATAACCACTGTAAAGGATCAAAGTCAAATGAAAGGTAGGTATATCTCGTTCTGCCGAAAAATAGCCCATATATTTTGAGATCGAACTAAATAAAGTAAACGATTATTTATAGTTTATGACGATATCTTTGAAATGACAGTTGTCCACGAATTGAAAAAAATGAGAGTTTTCAGAGCTCGATAACTCTAACAATTGAAAGAACGTATTATTTATAATATGTTTGGTACTAATTTTCTTCACTTCGATAATACTATGAGAATAGATAAATATCTGAGATATACTGTTTTGACTATGGTTAATCAAAAATGTCTCAAAAAAAGTATGGTTCGACATGTACCGAGACTGTGATGTCACGAAAAAGGATGAGAATTTTTCTATACGAAAAACCTACACGATTTTTATTGCGAAATTACTCAGCTTGGTTTCCTCGAACTATGCATAAAACCAAGTTAAGTGAGTTCTCAATCAAAGTCTTGCAGATTTTTTGTAGAGAAAATCCCTCATCTTTTCCAGCGATGCCTCTATCTCAGAGTTGCAACTGATGGAATCCATCGGGTCCAAAATCTTCGAACTCAAACGCAATGAACTCTAGTAGCAGTCGAGAATTTTCGACCCAATGCGGCCGATTTGTTGAGACATTTTCAATCGATTAATAGGAATGACTTCAAAAAGAACGCTGATTTTCCTTTTTACACGCAAGTTTTTACAAGCCTATAAAAAGTATTATGTTACAGTTGTTTATACCTGTAAGATTTCTCTAGAATGAATATGTGATAGTTCTTTGTATAGCAGGAACATGCATGAGCTATTAATTCTGAAAGCTGATTGCTAAACTTCAATTCTTGAATTTCTTCAGTGAGATTTTACCGACAAAACTAACATTTCTCTTTGTTTAAAATAAAACTTCAATTATTTTGATAAGAACACTCAAATTTGCTCCCGACAAGTTCTATCAGAGAATAATGACATACCACTAACATATCTTTCAATCGGTGATAACCGATTACAATTCTGCTCTGTCTTGGCACATTTCCTAACTATCATCGATGTGCCGAAAGTTGAGAAATGTTTATATATTATTTCTTGAATACTATTTCTTTTTTGTTTTGATCTGAACTGATTTTAATAATTTTCAATAGTCTACTAACATTTTATTCAACATTACATATAATAAGCATGTTTATTAAATAAGTAATATACAAAAAAGAAAACAGTATGTGTTAATTTATATTAATAACTATTTGTTGTACAAAAAGAATCCTTTTAATCAATTGAATTTAAAGCTATTTGAAATTCTCACTCCTAATTGTCTCATTTTTTCTCTCATACGATTCATTAATTCCATAAACTTTTGTTGAATATAAGCTGCATAACGTTGTATTTCATCACGAACATTTTGAAGAAAATGATTATTTACAGCAACAATAGTAACATCTTCAATATTTTCAATATTAGGTGGTAATGTTGGTCGAGAAGCTAAAGAAAAATTATCGAAATTTTAATTCTTTTCAATTCATTTAATTATTAACATACCAAGACTTTGACAAACATCACATGCTTCCATACTAATAATATCTTCATTTTGAACAAAACACCATGGACCATTAATATTCATATTCGGATTACGACAATAATTTTTTGCTGCTTTTATTGATGGATCATTAAAAAAATTTAGTTCATTTATAATTTCAGTATAAATTACTTGAAAATCAGCCCATGGTAAACATTCATGTTCAAATCTTGTAAATGAATGTTTACCTTGATAATGAAGAATTCCATCTTCAGTTATACTACAATCTATAATAGAACATAATTATATATTCCAACAGCAAATATTGTTCAAATTCTGTTAATCTTACCAGAAATATTTCTGACAATAATCGGTTTGCCTTCAAGATTACCAAAGATAAAGATGATTGTAAGTAATGGTAAGAACATAGTTATGCTCCTTTCTGTGTATCAAATCGTGTTATATATCGATGCCAAGTTCTGGAAGTAATAAGAATAGTCGGTAGGACAAGAAAAGAAATAAATACGTAACAGATAGAGAAAGAAGAAAAGAAACAAACTAAAATAGATAATACCATTTAGATCCGATTTTTCATTCATATCTAGATGTCACCAGACAACAATCTTATTTAACTTACATTTTCAACCTTATAACAAATATAAATAATCCATCTAATCTCTAGATCAATTCATTTCGATTATCAACATATAAAATAATATTATTTTTTGAAATTTTCATATGATAGGCTAATTATAAACACCTGTATCGAATTATTTATTTCATTCGATGATTTATGACGTGATGTTTCTTTTACCCTCAATTCGACACAAAAATTTTCGTTAAATTTGTAATAATATTAAAAAAAAAAAACTTTCATGTTTTTCTTTAATCAATATTTATTTCTATTATGAACCGTTCATTCGGTAATACATATTCATCAACAATACAGTCAACTAATTCAAGAATGTCTACAGCACCAGGTACAGAATGGGAAGATTTACGTAAACAAGCTCGTCAACATGAAAATGAAATAGATAGTAAATTAATGTCATTTTCAAAATTATGTTCGAATTATGTTGCACACGATCCAAATGATACATCATCATCAGCATCAACATGCACATCATCATCATTTGAAACAATGTCAATTGAAATTGAAAAACTTCTTGAACGTTTATCAGATATAAATAAGCGTATGTCTGATGTTGTACCAGCATTACTTGGACCTAATTCAGCTGCAACACATACATTACAACGTCATAATGAAATTTTACAAGATTATCGTCGTGAATTTGAACGTACAAAAGCTAATATAAAAAATTTTAAGAAACGTGAAGATCTTTTATTAAATACAAATATCAATAATAATACTGATATAACACAAACAGGTTTAAGTAGTCGTCGACAAGATTATTATTTACGTGAAATGAATCATTTAACTAATTCACATAAATTAATGGATACAAATATTGAAATAGCATCAATGGTTAAAAAAGATTTATCGGATCAGCGAAAATATTTTTTAAATATAACAAGTAAAGTTAATGCTATAACTAATCGTTTTCCATTGGTTAATAATGTTTTACAAAAAATAAAAGTTAAAAAACGTAAAGATTCACTTGTACTGGGGTTTGTCATAACTATTTGTCTTATTATTCTTCTGCTTTATATGTTTCGATAAAAGGAATATATATATATATAAATGAAAGTCTAATTTTTTTTCTCTTCTTTTTTTTTGGCGTTTTTTTCTTTTTTTTTTGTTTGTTGGTTTTCTTTTTATCGTCGAACATTCGATTTTCTTGTTTTGTTCTTATAATAAAATATAAATAGAACAAAACAGCTTTCATTTTTCTAGATATGGATTATCATATGTATCGTCATTTTTTATATAAATAATACATGAATTTCTTGTTTGGTATGTAAATCGACACAATGAAGAGAAAGAAAGTTTGACAAAATATCTTAAGGTTTGAAATGAAAGTAATAGAAAAATAAAGCAATTGATGACAAACTAAACAACGTTTAATGTAAATTATATCAGCTTTAGAAAGAAAATTTTGATAGATAAGATAAAAATTCGACATTCATTTTGTTTTTGATATTGTTTTGTAATGCAATATCGTAGAGACTTGATCATTTTTCTTGTTATTAGAAAGAGTGAAATATCTAGAGCAAAAATATAGAAAAGAATTTGATTGGAATTGTTTTTCAAAGGTTAAGAAAATCTTAAAACAAAATGTATCAGAAAACTCTGTCTTGACTTTTTTTCGAATTTCGAAAAAAACTTCATACAAGATGAAAGACTTTCTTTTTACTCTTGTTTTCTGAGTTATATAACGTAAGAATAGGAAATTATTACACTATGAAAAAGCGAAATATTCAACGTGTTTTATGGTAGATATGAATGCTATTATAGCATCTTTTAGTATCACCGACTTTTCATAACTAGTGATCGTAGTCAAAAAAACTAAATTTTACTTTGAAGGAGAGGTTGTTCGAAGTTATATATTTTATATGAAAAAGAAACCTTATCGAGTTTTTTTACTCAGCAATTTGATTTTCATGTTATAAACGCTAAGTAGATTTTTTTTGGTTAAGCTATTTGTTGTTCAATCCGTTGAATGCTACATCAATTATTTTAATATCACACGAAAGCTGTCGTTGTAATCAACAGTTATATATATACTATGCTTGAAAACATTGAGTAGATAATAAAAAAAGTCAAACAAAAATATTTTCATATAAAAATTGGTACCCGAATTTGCGAAAGAATCTTTCAATATTTTTGTTCTAAGGGTTCTATGACGATCGGACAACATTTTCAATTGAATTCTTTTCTATATTTTTGCACTAAATATTTTTCTTTTTCTAACAAAAAATAGGTCAAGTCTCTGAACTATTGCATTGCAATGCTACATTAAAAAAAAAAATTAATACCGGACTTTTGCTTCATCCTTTGTGTTCGAGAGATATTTTCTGTAAACAATAATTAGAGATAGTTCTACATTTCTTGCTTCATTAAACATCCTATGACAAGTTTTTTTGTACAAAGAAACACAATATGTTTAAGTATTCAATGTTATAAATTTAAAAACTAATTTTCCGTTTTTAATTAAGAAATTACTATATGTAAAAATAAATTAGATTTTTCTGTATAAAGTAAAACTCTTTATATTTTTTAAAAATAAAAGAAATATTTACAAATGTGACGATCTATTAACATTTTTGAATCAATAGATTTTATTTAAGACCTTTTCATCATTATGATTTTAGATTGATTAGTTGTAACATGAAACTTTTAATGAACAAAAACTATCGATAGTATATATTTTACAATTTCTTCGTCCTGCTAATATTAATCAATAGGAAAAGATAAAAATAAAATCAATTTGATCCATATTAATAATTATTATTATTAATAAAGAATCAAAAAATGATTAAAAGATAATGTCATATTTTTGTTATGTTTTTAGATATAATAAATAATGCGTTTATCATTTATATTTCAAGCTGCTAAAAGTGCACGACAATTACTTGTTAATTGTGAATCTCAAGCAACTGGTCATCGAACAATGCGTATACGTGAACGAACACAAGATAAACTTGAATTTCTACATATAGATCCATGGATTGATCAAGAAGTTTTGTATAAAGAAACAAGAAAAATCAAAACATTAGAAAAACAAAACAAACGTGAAATGCATATTAGTCGTTTAACATAATTTCTATTGTTGTTTTTGGTTTTGGTGTTCTTTTATAGCAAAAAGAAAGATTTGTTATTTCATATAAACATTAACTTTCTAGATGACTTCAACAAAACAATCAGTTTTGATTCTATATAAACAATTACTTCGTGAATGTCACAAATTTTCACTTTATAATTATCGGTAAATTCTTATTATTTTATATGTAGGATGAGTCATAAATAACACTGCGAAAAAGCATTGAAATATTTTCGCTTCGATTCGTTAGAACTGAGAAAGAAATTTTACCTATTATCAATCAAGAAAAATACATATGAAATGTTTTAATAGACGATTTTCAGTTTTTATCGAAGAGAATAATACGAATAAACCAAAATAAACTTTAAGAATGATATTATATTGATGTACACAGAACAAATTTTGAAAACTAGTCATTTAAAATTTTGAAATTCGTGTCCCATAAGTAAAATGTACAGCTGCAGTTCATTAAGCACCGGCTTAAAAATGCGAAATTTTGTTATCGCTGACTTCAGACCATACAATTATAAGGGGGAGCAGAATGTGGATGTGTTGTTTTACTGAATGTATTTTGACCAAGTAGCTTATTAAGGATTTGATAAATATTTTGTATTAAAATGCATTTGTTTGCAATAGTTTCCATAAAATACTGAGTGTGCTTTTTCAAATATGATACTTATGACACTTTCGTAGGATGTCATGAGCGACGCACTGGCAGCTTTTTTAGGTGAATTAATAAAGTTTTAAATGAGTTCATTTTAATACTATTTCCAGTAGTGAAGGATGTGGGTGACGAGGAGAAGAAGAACACTCACACCTATGCCCGAGTTTTTCTATAGCTTTGAAAGGCTTTCTCTCTTAATCCTTCTTCTTTGTCAGCAGAATCAAATGAAAGCTAACAATAATACATATACTTACTTTATTCGTGTAAGAAGAAAAATTTTGAATAAACTTCTACCAGTAAATCAAAAACTCAGCTGATTTGATTGAACCGGCGCGGGGATATTTCATTGTTTTATCGTAGTGCTATTTCTGACGTACACTGTATATATTATTTGATTGATTTAATCTTTTTTAGTGAATATTTTCTTCGACGAGTACGCGAAGAATTTCGTCAAAATCGTAATGTACAAGACTCATCAAAGATTGCTGAGTTGTTAAAGTTTGGACAAGAAAATCTTGAAATCATACGAAGACAGGTGAATTAGAGAAATAAAAAAATGAAGAAAAGAACTTTTATATTGATCTTATAGTGAAGATATGTTTTTTGAATCAGAACTATCTAAAGATTTTTTGTTCTTTTAGGTTATCATTGGAAATCTTTATACACCACAACAGAAGTCAATTATTGAAAATCAACAACATTCATCTATTTTCTCAAGATAAATTATGGTCAACTATCAAAATTTGTTACTATTGCAGTAGTTTTTCCTCTATGTGTTTTTAAATATATATACATCAAGCAAAGAAAATTTTAGTTTTATTTCTCTCTTTTGGATTCGAAATTAGTTCTTTGTATTAATCGAATTATTGTGCTTAAGAAATATTTACATGATAAGTTGGCATCGATGTCCATCGCGGCTGAAAATCTGCTGTTGTCGCAATGGTTTTTGAAAAATACTTCAAAAATCTGTTCCGTCACTGTGCTAAATTAGCACAGTTAGATAAATTCATCAGACTCATCACGATTGTGACTATTGAACTAGTAGACACTCAAACGGGGTGCATATTCATACAGTTTTACCATGTCCCTAAAATAGAAACTGATCCTGTTGTGATAGCACCTCCATGAATATCTCTATTACTTGGACAACGTTTATTCAAACATAAAATAAGTCAACAAAAAAGCATAGAATATGATAAACTATTCAAAGCTGCTGTTTCTCATGATAATTCAATGATTAAAATTTTGAGTGATAGAATTTAATAGGCATCGATATTTTGTTTTCTTGATTACTTTCGATTTAGAAAATTTGATGTCGATCAACTAAAAATTTAATTGATACATATAATAAGATAAATCGATGGTCAAAAATCAACACTTTAAACCAATGGAATTAGAATGATTTTACAACAATCAGTAACACAATTTTTAGTAAATATGATTCAAATAATGAATCTTATAAATTCAATGATGTCTATTAATGATATAATTGCTGTTGAAGAAAATTTTGAATAAGACTAAACGACAAGTGCGTGAGTAGGAAGGATATTATTGTTTTTTTGATTATTTGGGAACTTTCGGTTAAGAAATAATAGATAAATTTATAAATTTAGCATTTAAAAATGACAATGGCAAACAACTGTTTTGGGTGCGATTCGAAGACTTTTGCTAAAGTTGATCGAATTCAGGTGCTTGAGCGTTTTTTTGGATATCAATGAACAAAAAAATAATAATAAAGCGCTGGAATAAAGCGAAAACTTTTCAAGATTGAGTCAGGAGGTTATCATCTTCAGCCTCCACTTGTGACACCACTGATAACAGAAAAGAAGAGTTAGTTATTATAATAAGAGATTATATGAATGGAGTTATCCTGGATAAAATTCATACAAGACTAGCAAATTAAAATTCTATGAAAAGCTTATAAACATATGTATTAAATTATGATTTACTCTTTGCACAGGTGGTCAACGGTGTTTTATTTAGATTTTCTTTTTCGAAAGAGTGAACACCTATTTTTGGGAGCACAGGCACATAGTAGTGGTACAATAACCACAAGCTTCGGAAGAGTCAACCCGATCTTCTGAGGAGTGTCACTCTCTCGACCCTCACGCTGGATAAATCATAAATGGTTAAGATTATGAAACAGTATTATCACGTCAAAAAAAATTAAAATAAATGGTAAAAATCCAATATGAACAACAGTTGATGCCAATGATAAAACTCAACGGAATTTAGTTTGACGTAATTTTTTTCTTTCTTCTCTTTTACTATTTATTATCAATAAAGATTGTCATATCATCATGATTCGGTTACATATCTATCTTTATCTTTTTTTTTCATTTGTTAACTATGACTTTAGCTTTCTGTTTTATTTCTTTTATTCGTTTTTTTCCTCAAGATGACGACTAATATTATTATTAAATTTTATTTCATCGTTTGTTTTCTTCTGGTTTCCGTCGAATTATCATCATCAAAATGGATAAAACCACGTCGTTTAAACATTATTAATCGTTCACAAAATCATATTCGTGATGATCGATGTAGACAATTTAAAACATTTACACAAAAAGTTGATCATTTTGGTTTTCTTAATATGGATACATATCAACAACGATATACATTAAATACAGATTATTGGGAAATTGGAAGACCAATTTTATTCTATGCAGGAAATGAAGGTTTGATTACATTTTTTAACAGAAAAAAATTATTCCAAATGCTTTTTTTGTTTAGGCGATATTGATCTTTTCTGTGATAATACTGGTTTTAGTAAGTCAATAAAATTGTTATTTTCTTTTTTTTTTTGTTAAATATTTTTTAGTGTGGGATATTGCACCAATATTCAATGCAATGGTTGTATTTGCTGAGCATCGTTATTATGGTGCATCATTACCATATGGAAACGCATCATATTCGAATCCGGAATATAGTAAATAACTTAAATATCAAAGATTATACTTGAAATATCTTTTGTCTTTTTAGCACAATATTTAACAAGTGGTCAAGCACTTGCTGATTATGCATATTTACTTGATTATATTCGTAGTTCAACAACAGGTGCTGCACAAAGTCCAGTAGTTGTTTTTGGTGGATCATATGGTGGAATGTTAGCAGCTTATTTTCGAATGAAATATCCACATGTTGTTGTCGGTGCACATGCAGCATCAGCACCTATTCTTCAAATGACAACACCTTGCGAATTATTTTCTCGTGTAAGTTTTCTTTTCAAAATTTGATATCATTATTATTTCTGTTCTCTCATTTTTAAAGATTGTTACTCAAGATTTTCTCATAGAAAGTCCACAATGTGTTGATATTATTCGATCGTCATGGGCTGCAATTAATCGTATTGGATCAACTCCAGATGGTTTACAACGTCTAACTAATTTATTTAAATTATGTCATCCATTACAAACAGTTGATGAATTGAAAGAATGGTTACTCGATATGTATGGAAATATAGCTATGGTTGATTATCCATATCCAACATCATTTTTAGCTGATTTACCTGCATTTCCAGCACGAGTATTTTGTGAAAATGTTACATCATCATCAATACAAACAAAAAACGATGATGAAGATATTATTCGAAGAATAGTTAAAGGTACAAATGTTTTTTTTAACTATACTGGTCATACGGAATGTTTTGATACAGGTTCACAAGGTAAACAAAAACATTATTTTAGTAATTTAATTTTTTCGTAAAAAAATAATTTTTTTCAGGTACACCAAGTCTTGGTGATTTAGGTTGGTCATATCAATCATGTACCGAATTTGTTATGCCAATGTGTTCTGATGGTGTAAATGATATGTTTGAAAAACAATCGTGGGATTTTCAAGCATTTTCTGATGCTTGTTATGCTCAATGGAAAATTCGACCACGTTTTGAATGGCCATATATTGAATTTGGTGGTAAAAATATAACAGATTTTCGTTATTATTCAAATATTGCTTTTACAAATGGAAATCTCGATCCATGGTCATCTGGTGGTCTTGTTGCAACAGTTGCTCCAAGTCTTCCAGCTATATATATAAAAGGCGGTGCTCACCATCTTGATTTACGTGCAGCAAATAAAGCTGATCCACCAAGTGTTTTACAAGCACGTCAACTAATTGTTGGACTTATTGAACAATGGATTTCATAAATTTTTTTTTTCGTTCTTTTTTTTTACCAAAAAAATAGACACATACAAAACAATAAATAATAAGAAGAAAAAAAAAATTGCTTTTTTGTCAATTGTGCTGATTTTAAAAACTATAATCTAAGGTTTATTTCGTACATATTGCTTATTTGCTAATGTAAAGTTGAAAATGTTTTAAATTATTATACTATTTATATCTATGGTGTACTGAGTTGAACTGTAGGACCCATTTCAGATGGCTGATACAAATTAGGACGTGCTTTAAAACGTTTTGTGCCGATGTCAATTTCATATTTTGCTCCACGTATATAATTTGTTGTAATGTTTTCATTATTTGGTGCATGAACATATCCCAAACATACCTTGAATGATAAATAAATAATAAGAATAATCAATTTATTTAGGGAACATACCAAAAGTAATGACGAAGGTACTTTAATTCCTTATAAAAAAAACTTAAAGGAACTTTTTTTCTATGTATTTTGATAATAACAACAATACTCTACATGTGACGGTAAAATTAGATCAAATTTTGTCTTCGATATACATTCTCTTCGTTCTTCTTCTTATTTCCTCTAATACCTAGTCATCTTTACATATTAGAATAGACACAAAGCAATGACGGTAGAACCAAAACAAGAACAATAAAAACAAGTTCATCAAGTCTTTAGTTCATTCAATGTTTGAAATAATCATTCTGATTAGGAGAGGGTCGAATGAATGATCCTGTCGAGGAGCTCACGAGGAATTAGATTTATTCCATTTAACCTTTACGCTTTACAAGCTACGATGACTTTCAACCTTCACCTACACGTACAGCTAAAAGGGCTAAAATATTCTTACAGCTTTAAAGAAATATATGCATAGAAGTAAAACGGAATAAATTTCATTTCTTCTTGATACAGCCGCCCGCCGCCACCACCCCCCCCCCAAGGCGCCAGCCCCAGACTCTCCACACGCAAGCTCTCG